CCATTCCTGTTTTCCTTTATCTGTCTCCTCCTATCCCCTCTCTGTCTCTTCCCCTACTGCTGCATTTGGTCCGTTTTCTCTTCTCCCCCTCATCCATCTCCCCCGCCCCGCTATCCTCATAATCATTGTTATAAAGTAAGCCTATTGTTGCAGCCCCTGTGTCAAGCCATCCTGCTAAGGGTCTTCCTCTTTTTCAATAACTCTCTAATTTACACCAAGCATGGTGCCTTCTGCAGGGAATGACTGGTCACCATGTCCTAAGTGCATGAGATGAAGTCTCACCATCATCCCTTCTAAGGAGCATTCTGACTATACTTCTTCCAAGATAGATTTGTTCATTCTTCTGGCAGATCATAGTATATCCAATAGCTTCACCAACCCTGTATTTCAAATTCATCATTCTTCTTCAGTCTTCCTTATTCATTTTCCAGCTTTTGCATGCATATGAGGTGACTGAAGATAACATGGCTTGGGTCAGGCACACCTTAGTCTTCAAAGTGACATCTTTGCTTTTTAACACTTTAAAGGTGGGCCCAATGCAACAAGTCATGTCATTTCTTCACTGCTGCTTCCATAGTGTTGACTGTGGTTGTCAGTAAAATGAAATCCTTGACAACTTCAATCTTTTCTCCATTTATCATGCTTATTGGTTCTGTTGTGAGGTTTCTGCTTTCTTTATGTTGAGGTGTAATCCATACTGAAGTTTGTAGTCTTTACTCTTCATCAGTAAATGCTTCAAGTTCTCTTCACTTTCAACAAGCAAGGTTGTGTCCTCTGCATATCACAGATTGTTAATAAGTCTTCCTCCAATCTTTATGTCATGTTCTTCTCCATATGGTCCAGCTTCTCAGATTATTTGCTCAGAAGAAAGGTTGGGCAATCTACTTCCGTAGTGATACCACCTCGGAAACCCAAGGAGGGGTCACTATGAGTCGGATCCGACTCCACGGCAGTGAGTTTGGTTTTTTGGTAGATTGAATAAGTATTGTGAAAGGATACAATCCTGACACATACCTTTCCTAATTTTAAACTACACAGTAGCCCCTTGTTCTGTCTGAACAACTGCTTGTTGGACTACGTACAGTTTCCACATGAGCACAGTTAAGTATTCTGGAATTCCCATTCTCTGCAATGCTATCCATTATTTGTTATGATCCACACAGTCAAATGCCTTTGTATAGTCGATGAAACACAGATCAACATCTGTCTGGTATTTTCTGCTTTTAGCCAAGATCTATCCACAAGATATCCCTTGTTCCACACATCCTCCTCTGAATCTGCCTTGAATTTCTGGCAAATCTCTGTTGATGTACAGCTGCAACCGTGTTTTGAATTATCTTCAGCAGAATTTTACTTGCATGCGATATTAATGATGTTGTTTGTTTATTTCTACATTCTGTTGGGTCACCTTTCTTTGGAATGGGCACAAATAGGGATCTCTTCCCATCTAAGAATGGTTAATATTTTGTTGTGTATACTTTACTACAATAAAAGAAATGTTTAAAAAGAAAAAAATAGTAGTGGATCTCCATAGTCACTAATGGTCCCTAGGAGTATTCCCTTCTAAATTGTGAGTAAGTTCATTGTGTATAAGCTGCTTTGTGTGTGTGTGCTTCAGGTGCAAGTTTACAGAGTAGAGTTTATTAAGTACTCAAATATGTTTCTGGATAAAACTCTTTATGACATTATTATATGAGACTTAACCCCAGAAACATGTTTTATGAACACAGAATTTTTGTCTGTTTTATACACCACTCTATTCCCATAAGGAGCTCTGGTAGCATAGCACCTAAGGCATTTGACTGCTAACCAGAAGCTGGTAGTTTTAACCCACCAGCCACTCCTCGGAAGGAAGGTTGGACAATCTACTTCTGTAGAGATCCTGCCTCGGAAACACAAGGAGGGGTCGCTATGAGTCGAGGACAACTCAATGACAGTGAGTTTGTTTTGTTTGTTTGTTCTTTCCTATTTCTAATAACAGTGCTTGGCACCAATAAACGTTTGTTGGATAAGTGAGTAAAAAAAAAAAAAAAAGCTGAATCTCAAATGATTTTAAAGAAAATGAAGAAGTTATGTTCTAAAAACTAAGATATAAAGTTGCGTAAACTGAAAAAAGTCAATCCTTCCACATTAATAATGTACTGCTATTCAATATGCATGTATAATTACTAAGTAATAAATCAAATAAAGATTTCATTATTTCATCTGTAAGTCTAAAATTTTCCTCTGATACTCTTTAATTTTACTCCAACATTAGTTCTATTTAGTGAATAAGCCAAAAAGTCTTAGTAGATGCAAACACAAACTTCCCTTTCCTGGAAAGAATGCTACATCTACAAGAGTTTTTAACTTTCCAGATCAAATAAATAAACCATTTTTAAAACAAATATTGAAAACAACTGTTAAATGGGCAGTCAGCCATTATTATTTCATTCATTCAGGATCTATTTATTGAACACTGCCCAGAGCTCAGACATTTGGGCTAAACTCTGACAATAAAGATAAAAGCAAGACACAGCCTGTGTCCTCAAAGTCACTGTTAGAGATGGACATGTTAACAGGTAATTATAAAGCAGTATAAAAGGTCTTCAACAGCAAGGATTTGAACTGGTTCATTCCATTCTGCTGAGAACTGGCATTTCTATCCTAAACAAAAAACCCAAACTCATTGCCAAAGTCGATTCCAATTCATAAAGACCCTATACGAAAGAGAAGAACTGTCCCAGAGGGCTTCCAATGTTATAAATCTTTACTGAAGCAGACTGCCTCATCTTATTAAGATAGATTCTGATTCAGTCAGTGGTCTCACTAGGGTTGATGCCACCCAACTCAGTAACTCATAATGGCATCCCCCTGTGGGCAAGGCTGGCCGGCGGAGCCTGCCCTCCCTTGCACACACACAGTGGAGCAGCATGCCCCTACCCTATCCCTGCAGAGTCTGGGAATTCACTAGTATGACCAACTAAACTCAACTCTGAAGGCCAGCAGAAGGACTTTGAGGATACAAGCTTTGTCTTGCTTTTCTTTTTTTCTTTTTTTGTCGAATGTGAAGAGACGAACAGCACTCCAGGCAGAGGGAGTAACAAGGCTAAAGCTCAAGCCATGAAAGAATATGTCACATTAGAGAAGAAAATGAGTAAATGGTACCAATGAAGGGTAGAGTTTATGGTTGAGACTACTGGGAAATGGAGGTGCAGAAATGAACAGAAAGGAGGGGTTCTCATTACAAAAGATCTTATATCTAGGCCAAGGAACAGATTATGGCACCACGAAACCTTCCTCGTCTCAAGAGGTTCCCGTAACTAGGCATCTTCTGTCATAGAATAAGCAGGACCATGAGCCACAGCACTCTCATCAACTATGAGAGCTCTCCACTAACAAACAACTATTTGTGGCTTTAACAAGCAAGTTCCCTGACTAGACTGAGAACTCATTAAGGGCAGGAGCTATCATGTTTTATTAGAGTTTATATCCCAGAGGTCTACTGCTACAATTCCTCCATTAACAGAGTCAAGCACCTGTGATGCACCAGCTATTATACTAAGCACTGGGTACTCATGGATCTCTGATGAAGTGATATTTAGGTGATACCTGAGGATGAGAGGAGGCCAGCTTACAGAATTTTCACCGTTCCTATCTTATCCTTCCTCTCAAGGAGTCCTGACAGTAAGATAGGTAAGCATTCAGCAGCTAACTGAAAGATTGGTGGTTCAAGCCCACCAGAAACTCCGTGGATGGGGATGAGGGGAGACCTGGTGATCTGTCCACATTAAGATTTCAGCTTAAGAAATCTAATAGGGTAGTTCTACTCTGTCCTATAGGGTTGCTAGGAGTCAGAATCTACTTGGTATTAAATAACCTCCTCTTTAACACACTTTGTTTGGATCAAAATCATCCTTCCCTGAATTCTCCTGCTTCTTATTCCTCTTCCTCTATATTCCTTATTCTCTTATGGATATCATTTCAGGACTCAGTCCAGCCCATTGCCTTCTCCACCTAAGATCTCATTCTACTCTTCTCATTTCAAGTTTTATTTTTCAAAAAATGCTTTTCTATTACCCAAAGAACAGCCTTATGCTTGTTAGACTATTTTCATATAAATTATTTAACTAAGAGGCAATGCAAGGTAGTGGATAACAATGTATCTATAGGTGTTGGTAGTCAAACACCTACAAATCAGATTCCCAACTACATTCTTGGTAGTTTTGTGATCTTGGGTACCTCTCTAAGCCTGCTTCCCCTCCTTTATGACAGAAATTTTTAAAAAGTTGATATCAAGGCAATTCCAAATCATGGCAACTCCAAGTGTATCAGATTAGATGCTCTCCAATGAAATTTCAGTGGTTGAATTTTCAGAAGGAGACTGCCAGGCCTTCCCAGGTACCTTTGGATGCACTAAAACCTCCAAGCTTTCAGTTATCAGCCAAACACATCAACCTTTTTGCACAACACAGGGATAAAACCAAAAACGAAACCTGTTGCCATCAAGTTGATTCCAACTCAGAGCAACCCTGTAAGACAGACCAGAACTACCCAACAGGGTTTCAAAAGCGTCATCTTTACAGATGCAGACTACTTTATCTTTCCCCCACAGAGTGCCTGGTAGGTTTGAGCCACCAGACCTTTCAGTTAGCAGCCAAGCTCTTAACCACTGTACAACCAGAGCTCTTATGACAGGGACAAGGGTAATTGCTTTTATATGCAGCATCTCATTTAATCTTCAAAAGAATCCTGGGAATAACTGTAATAAGGGTATCCAATTCTTCTGGAGATTAAATGAGATACTGTTTATAAAAGCAATTAGCGTTAACACCAAAAAAAGTCAGCCATTTTATTATTAATCATCAAGTCAGCATCCAAAAGAACTTAAGACATGATAGTACCTTGTTAGAGACTTTTAAAAATGACTAGAAAAAAGGATATGTTCAAGATCAGAGAGCTAGACAGGCACCGGGACTGGGCTGCCTGCCGGCGACGCTGAGCTACCCCATCAGTCCGAGATGGCAGAAGTGGAAGAAACCCTGAAGCGACTTCAGAACCAAAAGGGTGTGCAGGGAATCATCGTGGTGAACACAGAAGGAATTCCCATCAAAAGCACCATGGACAATTCCACAACTACACAGTACGCCAACCTCATGCACAACTTCATCTTGAAGGCACGGAACACCGTGCGTGAAACTGACCCCCAGGGTCAGTTTTTTACTCACTTATCCAACAAACGTTTATTGGTGCCAAGCACTGTTATTAGAAATAGGAAAAAACAAACAAACAAATCCTTCGAATTTGCTCCAAGAAAAATGAAATTATGGTTGCACCAGATAAAGACTATTTCCTGATTGTGATTCAGAATCCAACTGAGTAAGCCACTCTTGCCCCGGTGTTATTCCTTAATTTAATGCTCCCCAAGATGACTAGTGTTGATCATGCCAACCCCCCTGCAAGTGGAAGTCACCTGAGAGCCCACTCACACCAATCTAGTGACCAAGGGTGGGCTCCACTCCCCCCACCACAGGAATCCCTCAGGTGCACCAACTGCTCCCAGGTTCCCAGGCTGAGGGACTTCTTCTAGGAAGATCCCCTCCCCCCCCATCACTTCTGGGGTTGGGAGCAAGAGCTTGTGAGAAACAGCCCAACCGGCTTCCTTCTGACCTTCATTCAGTTCATTTGTCACCCTTGGAAAAGGCTGTTTTTCTTTAACTAAAAATAACCAAGATGCTTGCTTTAAAAAAAAAAAAAATCAGACAGCTGTATTTGTAGTATGGATTGTCCAAAAGTACATTTCTGGCCTCGACCTATCAACACAGTCACAATATCAAACCCTGACCTATGATCATTTCTACTTGGATGATCTACTACAGCTTTGTCAAAACTTGATCATCTTCCCACAAAACTGACTCCCCTGGAGTCTTGTCACTTCAGAGAGACTCCATCCTCTCCTTCATTCATGTTTATAATCACTAGTTTGTCATGTGTAATCTGAAAAGTCTGGCAGATCCATCTTTTTGTCTTCATTCCCATAGCAAAGCCTCTAAAGTATGGAAAGACTATAGAAGCAGCGATGCAAGCCTCAAAGGTGGAATATCACTGTGAGTCCAGATGAAGTCCTGAGTTAACCTCCTGATTCATTTCCCTACCAGGAGTCTTGGTCTATTTCAAATTGTATGCAGTACAAAGGAGCAAAGGGAAATCTAAATATAAGATTATCCCTTGATAGTACAGAAAATTATCACAAAGTAGATCAAAGTAAAGCTACGCAAAGTCACCTAAAAGACACTAAATGGTTCTCATTAAAACCTGAGGCATGATGTTTGAAATTATTAACATGACTTATGAAAAATGGTGTCAATCTTAAGAGTAGTCAGAATGAGGAGAAAGAGAAAAGAAATCTGGAGAGAAAGAGTATGTGATCTGACTGATATATATATGCAAGAAAAGCCCTATTGTGAGGATGGATGAGTGCAGGGACTGGACTCATTTTACTGAAGCTGTATGAGCAAAACAAAGACTCTAGTCCAGGAACCAAGAGAAAGCAGACACAAAAATAATGCCTTACACATAAACTTTCTCTTATCATTATAACCAACCTTCGAGTTCTAATTCCTTCCTCACAACCCACCAACAAGCAGAACATGTACCACTCAGGAAGATATATTTAATTCCTTTTGCCAATTCTATTTCTCACATGTTAGTTAATAAACTGTCATTCTAATTTACACCTTTCCACCTCTCATAAACAAAACAAAAAAAACTCATTGCCATGGAGTCAGATCCGACTCATAGCGACCCCTCCTTGGGTTTCCAAAGCAGAAGTAGACTGCCCAGTCTTCCTTCCGAGGAATGGCTGGGTGGGTTGGAACTACCAGCCTTCTGGTTAGCAGTCAAATGCCTTGGGCACTATGCCACCACAGCTCCTTCTATCCCTTATGATGGGGAAAAAAAAAAAAAAAATCACTGTCATTGAGTTGATTTCAATGCAGAGCGACCACCACTGGGTTACCAAGGTGGTAAATCTTTATGGAAGTAGATGGTCCCATCTTCCTTCCAAGGAGTGGCTGGTGGGTTTGAACCACCAACCTTCTGGTTAGCAGTCAAATGCCTTAGGCATTGTGCCACCACAGCTCCTTATCTCTTATAGCAGTTATTTATTTGTTTGTGGGAGGTGGGTTTTTATTTTCTGTTTCTCTTGCTTGGCCAGTGAGGTAGAATTACATGATTCAGCTCTTCCAAGTCCCATTGACCAAACACTGACTGATAAGATTGCATTTGTGTCTGTAAGACAGAAGCTCAAATCCTGGACTAAAGAGAACTGAACAAGGTAAATGTCAACCTCTGAGGAAAGCCATCATGCTTTAATAAACCCATCTCTCCAGCGCACACTAACACAGACCTGTCATATAAACCATGTATACATCTCTGCCAAATCCCATTCATGTTTTTTAAATGCTACTTTCATCTTGCTGCAACTTAGTAGCTACAACAGATCCCTACTGCCTTTCATGTCATTTTTAAGCCACCAGTTTATATGAAAGCAGCTCTGGTGGCACAGTGCCTAACGCATTTGACTGCTAACCACAAGATTGGTGGTTCAAACCCAACAGCTACTCCAAGGAAGGAAAACAAGGCAATCTAATTCCGTAAAGATTTACCCCTTGGAAACCCAAAGGGGGCTGCTATGAGTCAGAACTGACTGGATGGCAGTGAGTTTGGTTTTGCTTTGGAGTTTGTATGAAAGGCCATTCTCCTATCCCAGGGAAACCCCGCTATATCAGCCCTGGCCTCGGCACATGCCATAGTCCCTGTACCTCCATTCTTCTGTTCACATCCCTTCTCTAATTCATCAGCTCTTCCCAAACGTCTTCCCTTACTATAAATTCCTTTAGGCACTTCAATTAATACACATGACTGATCTTAAAACTCGCTCTTGTCATTGTCTAACTAAGCTCAAGTACAATATGACTTTAAGAACCCTCATTCAAAGTACATACTATGTAAAGGGCTGAGCAGGCATCTCATACATGTCTTCCTGAGTCAAAATTATTTGATAACCAAATACTAAAAAGCTAAATCTTCAGCCTATACAAGGTTGGGTCTGGTGTTTTTTTTTCCTTTTGTTTTTGCAAATCAAATCCAGAACGTGTAACTGATTCCTTTAAATATGAAATGTGCTTAGTCTAACAGCAAGGCCGACAAGTAACTTATACTCAAATCTAAGTGTGTACCACCCCCATCCAAGCATGTATTTTAATACAACCAAAGCTGACAATAAGGCATATAAGCAACCTTTCTTACAAGAGCCAGACCCAGCATAGCTGTTGAGCTCTCCCTGGAATACAGCAGACTGGGTCCCAGTAGGCTGTTACCTAGGAAGTCAAACAATTCCAATTACCTCACAAATCTGCAGAGACACAAGTGTTTGCCAAAAATACAAGGCCAATGGTGAATGGAGCCAATGATACAGTGGCTCTGTGAGCCACACGTCATAGCAACAGGACTGGCATCACTCTGAAAAGTGTATATGGACAATACATCAGCAAAAATGAAATACTCCATGTGGTCTAAGTTCATCTCCCAATGTTTATCACAAGATGACACTATAGTGAAGGAGAGTAGGTTGCTCATCTTTTTTAAATAAAATGAAGGATAATCTGTAAGGAGCTTTTACTCTTATTCAGTTTTCACACCTTATAGTACAACCCTTTTTTACATCACATCAGGAAAACAATTAAAGAAACTGAGAATTTTTTATTAATAATAGTTTATGTACACTGTGTACATTTAAAAGCAGCAATGCCTTAAGATAGTCTCCAAATTGTGAAAATTTCCACTTACTAAATCAAAAAAAAAAAAAATTATTTGTTCATTCAACAAGAATGTATTAAGTTCCTAAACTAGGCATGAGGGATTTAATGGTGAAGATAGTTTTATATCTGCCCCCCAAAAAAAATTGCATAAAAAGTATTTATTCATGTTTCCAAGACTCATGATATTCCAAGGTCAATCCAACTTTCTGCTGATTCCTAATTTTAAAAAATTTATTCAGAACTTCCAAGACTTGATGAAATAATATTTCCAGGGGTGAAACATATCCAAAAGTGAAAATTCTGCATTATAACTTCTTTTATAAATGCCTTACCAAAATTCAAATATCCACTATATAGTATACCTACTTGGTGGCTACTGAGATAATTTCAAAAGATCTGATAAAAAAAAAAAAAAAAATGATACCATTAAACAGCATTCCAACATGTTTTTTTATAAAATTAGATGGCTGAGCTTAAAAATCAGAATTATAATTCATGAAGTAGATTTGTTCTTCATTACCGCCATGAAACATAGATAATATAAATCACCAGGTAACATTACCAATTATGCTAGAGCAGCATCAGAATTACTGACCCCTTCTAAGGATTAATACTTCTTTCAAAATACTATCTCATGTGAGGCAAAGCAATTATTAAGCCCCTTAGAAAAGCATAAGCCCTTCGTAACATGGCCACAAAGCAGTTTTCTGTTCTGCGTACAGAACTCATTTTTCTCCTCTGAGACTACCTCGTCATGCACTATTTGTCACTAATGGATTGGGTCATTCCTTAGTGTAACAAATTTGCTCTCCAGAGAATAAAGCAATGAAGAAAAAGTATTTCAATGTCTGATACTCAGAGTTTATTAGACTATACATAACGCAGACTCTAGCTGGTTTATTTTAAAAAGGGAAAATGTTAATTGTATGTATAATCAAATTCTTAAATCTGATGCAACAGTTTCAATACCAACACATTACATTTTCTAAGTACATCTGCCACATTGAAATCACCCTCACACAACAGAATTTTTTAAGTTTCTATTAATCCCACACCAAATCACCTAAATTATATGCTAAACTACACCAGTTTCGTAGCAAGTGTGGTAAGGTACTTTATCTACTACAGATAAATACATTAACTGTTTTTCTCATTATTGACTTCTGTGGTAGTGAAGGTTGTGTGTCAGCTTGGTTGGCCTGATTTTGAGTGACTGGGCAGCTAGATGTAGTATTCTCTATGATGAGACTGGTAATCAACTCCATGGTGGACTCTACTATGAGCAGCTGAGTAGCTGCCTTAAGGATGTGGTCGGCTCCCAGTATATAAGAAGACACACTGAGAAAGGTCTTGAGTTTTTGGGACATCTGGATCCTGCAATTGGCTGAGTCTTCATCTCAGTGTCCTACCATGTTGTCTGCTGATCTTGGGACTGTTAATGGACTTGAATTAGTACTCTGCCATGTGGTTTGATAATTTTAGGACGTGCCATTTTACCTGATGACCTTGGGTTCGTCAGCCTCAGCAGCCAGCAGCTGTCTGAATTAAGAAAAGCCTCCAG